ATTAGATAGTGACGATGATAATTTAGGCCAGTCGGTGAGTGCAAAAACTGCCCAAAAATACAAACAGCAAAGTCTCAATAGTTTCTTGCAGTTTGAGGGCCCCATATAAGAGCCCCACAGTTTGCTCTCGATTTCCGGGTGCGAAAAACAGTGTAAACCAAAGTGTCCAAAGTTTGGAAAACATGGTTTTTCGATGCTCGTTGCTTCCGGTTAAGTTTTAGGGGAAAAAGTTGTTATTGAAAGTTATAGAGCTTGGAAATACCTTTCAAATGATGTGTCATACGTTAAAAAAGGTTAATTAGTTTAGTTGCAAATACATTTAAACCATTAAAAATAGCACTTCTTTAATTGTTTAATAACTTTGTTAATAATTATCGAATTTGTTCATAACTTAACAGGAATATTCTCCTTGCGTAGCTGAATAAATCCCCAAAAAAATAACTAGATTGGAGAAATAGTTTATGCATAATTCCATTTGTTAACTAAAAACATGTAATTTTTCAACGGAATTTCCCCACTTTTGGTACATCGAATTTCGATTTTTTTTGGAAAGTACACTTAAGAAGTCAAACTTTCATCCTATTTAAATAGCCAATTGATTTTTTTTGTGTAAGTGCATAATAAAAAGGGTTAAAAAAGGGTGTGTTTTTTGTCATAAACAAATGGAATTAATCTGCCAATTTTCACTTCATCAATTATTCACTTCATAAACGGCATATAATTCCATTTGTTTCCACAAAACTTTAAAAAAAAAATCCGACCTAACTTGAAGGGAGGGGGGGAGATAACTTTTTTTTTTAAATTCCTGACAAGTTAATTATTAATATTTTTTATTAAAACTCGCACGACTTTTAGTTCAAAACATGTATTTTATGAAAAAAAATTGAACTTAACGTTTTGTGCTTTTATTTTTCATTTATATCAAGTGAAAGTACATGCATCCTTTTTCAACTTTCGGACGGCGGAGTGGGGGAACTCGGTGGCGCTTGATTCTCGCCCGCCACAAAACGAATTCAGCCGTTCAAATTCGCAAAAATGGTCATAACTTCACTGAAAAAAAAGTTCATGGAATCAAGTAAATGCATTTTCTTGACCTGATTTATTTGAAACAAACCCATATTTTCTTATTGGAAGAAATTTATTTTCTTGTGTCAAGTAATTTTAAGCATTGAGCAAAGTTATTGAAATTAGAAAATATGGGTTTGACATAAGTAAATATCTTACTGTTTCAAACGAACTGTTTTACATGCGCCAAGTCTCGAAAAAGTATTGAATCAAGAATATCATGTTCTCACGTCAAGTAATTTTCCTTGAGTCATTTGGTATCTTGAGTCAAATAATTTTTTTATTTCCTTTAAAGCAACTATTTATTTCATCCAACACCCATAGTCTTGAGCCAAGAAAATGGGAAGATTAATACAAGTTAATAATTGTTTTAACTCAATTAAAAATTATTTTGTTTCAAAGAAATATTAATTAATCTAAGCATTTCTTTTACTTGAAGCATTTCTATATTCTCATGTTTCAAAATCATTAATTTCTTGCGAGAATGTTATATTTTCTGGAATGAAATATTTTATTTATTCAATTCAATTAAGTGTATACTCTCTAAATCTGAATACGTGAAAATTCACATATTTGTACGTTATAAGTCGTCTTCTCGATCAATAAGTGCATATACACTTATAATAAGTGAAATTTCACTCAGAATAAGTGAAAAATTCACTTATTTATAAGTGTATATGCACTTATTGATCGAGAGGACGACTTATAACGTACAATAAGTGAAATTTCACATATTCAGATTTAGAGAGTAAGATCTTGAATTAAATCATTCTTTTGTTTCCTTTAAAAAAGTTTTTACTTAATTTAACGCTCATATAATCCTGATTCAAGAAAATACGAAGGTTAATATAAGTAAATATTTGTTTCAAGTTGATTAAAAATTATATTCAATTAATCCCATATTTATTTGAAGAAAGAAATTCATTTTCTTGTGTCAAGTAAATATTAGCATTGAACAGAATTCTTGAATTAACAATTTAGTATTTGGCAGAACTCAATATGTAATTATTTCAACCAAATATTTTACTTTTCCGAAGTACCAAAAAGTATTGAATCTAGAATATCATGTTCTTAAGCGAAATAATAAAGTATTGTGTGGAGAATTCATGTTTCTTGAATCGAATCATTTTATTTATTTGCTTTGAAACTTTTTTTTACTTAACACAATGCCAGTGTTCTTGATCCAAGAAAATATTTTTCTTCAAATGTATATGCAACTTAAATATCAGTTTTTGAAAACTGTCCATTGAGGCTAGGATGGCATAGTGGTAGCGTGACGGCTTCTGGTGCGTGCAACCCGAGTTCAATTCCTCCAACCGTGGAAAATTTTCTTTCAAGGTATATTTGTTGTATTTGTGTTAAGTAATAATTAAATGTAAATATATATGTAAAATAACAATTATTTAAATAAAAAATATAAATGTTAATTAATTAAATAATAAAAATGTTTGACCTAAGTATTAGAAAAGATGGGATGGGGGTAAGGGGGGGGGGTAATTTAAGTAAACAATTTACTTGTATTGAGAAAGTATTTTTTTGATTGAAATCTATAAATTTTTTCAAATCAAGAAAATATTTTCTTGGACAGAAAACATACTTTCATAAATATAACATATTTTTTTTCATAACATATTTTCATAAATGCACAAAACCTTATGTTCAATTTTTTTTCATAAAATACATATATTGAACTATAAGTGGTATGAATTGCAATTACAAATATTGATAATAAAGCAGTCAGGAATTTTTTGAAAAAAACTAACTCCCTCCCCCTTGAAGCTAGGTCAGATTTTTTTTTTGGAAAAGTTTTGTGAAAACGAATGAAATTAAATTCCCTTTACACCAAATCGATAAAATGAAAATTGACTGAGTTATTCCATTTGTTTATGTCAAAAAAACATACCCTTTTTAACGTCTATTTTTATGCCCTAAGATAAAAACATACCCTTTTTTAACGTCTATTATTATGCACTTAGATAAAAAAAAAACAATTTCCCATTTAAATGGAATGAAAGTTTGACTCCTAAACTGTACTCTCGAAGAAAAAAAAACGAAATTCGCAGGTCCAAAAGTGGGGAAATTCCGTTGAAAAATTTCATGTTTTTAGTTAACAAATGGAATAAAACATAAACTATTTGTCCGATCGAGTTGATTTTTTTTTAATTTATTCAGCTTCGCAAGGAGAATATTCCTGGTGAGTTGTAAACAAATTCAATAATTATTAACAAAGTTATTAAACAATTAAAAAAGTGCTATTTTTAATGGTTTAAATTCATTTGCAACTAAACTAATTAACCTTTTTCAACGTATGACCAGTCATTTGAAAGGTATTTTCAAGCTCTACAACTTTCAATCACAACTTTTTCCTTTAAAATTTAACCGGAAGCAAGGGTCATCGAAAAACTACGTTTCTCGAACTTTGACGATTGTTTACACTATTTTTTGCAACTGGAAATCGGGAGCAAACCATGGGGCTCTTATATGGGGCCCTCAAACTGCAAGAAACTATTGAGACTTTTCTGGTTGCATTTATGTGCACTTTTTGCACTCACCGACTGGCCTATACCGAGAAAGCGTGGACCGGCGTGGACCCATGGTTTTTTGGTATGTTTTCATACCTTTGAAGCGTGACTATAGGCCATACGAAAGAAGCATAGATAGTGTCATACTATTAAAGCTAGATTTTTCTCTCCGTGTAGGATTAATAAATCTTTAAAAAATTAATAGCTACAATTTAATAAATTAATTTTTTCGATTTTTGGAAGACGTATAATATAAAAGGTAAAAGAAAAACACTCTTTTATTTTTTATAAAATAGTCAACGTTTCGGTGGTCTGGTTTGCCACCATCATCAGGTCACATTAATAAGAAAAAAACTTTTTTTAACCCTCAGTCACACACCTAGGGAGGGATTCCCTCCACGGTTTCAGTATTTTTTAAATAACTTTTGTTTTCCTCATTGCAAAATATAATCAGTTTCTATACCTTTCGACAATTTACTCCTGAACACATTTCTAAAAAAACATTTAGTTTAAACATAATTAATATTTAATTATGAAGCTTCAAAGCCAGAAAAAACTCGAAAAAGTGAGGTTATGTTAAATAAAAAAATCAAGTTTTCAAAACATTTTTTGTTCCACTGTTGGTTAATGACAAAATTATATTATAAATATAATTAAAATGAATTGTTTAATGATTTTTTTGCTTATTTGTTAATGTTACATTATTTTTGCATGTCAAGTGGAATTCCTTCGAAGATGTGCATTCGTGTAATTAATTTTTATTTTTGAGACCGAAAATTAATTTTATTAATTTTATAATTTAGAATAATTTACTACATATTTGTAAGATTGTGTTAAAACTAAATTTTTGTTGATTCCTTTGTTTATGTTGTAATGTTGCTTATTTTACAATGTGGCGAGGGATTCCCTCTAAACGTGTGTAAAGTCGTAATTTTTTCTCATGTGTGTGACGGAGGGTTAAATAGATACAACACAATTTTTAAATAAATTAAAATTGAACAAAAAATAAAAAACAATTTTTACCTAGTTAAAGTCAATAAGATAAACATCACGTCAATAAATTAAAAACCATAAATAAACGCAATACAACATAAAAATAAAATATTTGAATTTACAAATCACAAACATTAAAACTAGTGATTAGTCAAACTGACTGATCCGGTGACAATTTTCGCGTTATATACAGGCGATGGGATCAATGACCCGCAATCGAAATATTATGAATTATAACCATTATTTCAATTTATTAAGCAAAGGAAAATTGGAATTACTAAGAAACTGTATATTTTCCTTCATAGTAAAATTATTGCACGATGTGGGTCCTTTTCGTGAGAATCACCCTTATATATAACTATATATTTACATAAAATTAGAATTTATACTATTTAAGTTATTATTTGTAATTTGTCTTACCTTATCTAATGCTCTAAACAATAGAATAGTTTTCACGCTTTCATTGAGTCGATTCCGTTGTTCGTCACTTTTAGGATAAATTTGCTGAAACAATAAAAATAATTTTTCATTAATTTATCATAATTATTCAGTTGTAGTTTGTATTTTATGATAGACAAAAGAAACTTATTGCTGCTACTCTCTAAAATTGAGGCGTTCAGTCAAATAACTCGATCTTCGCTCGGCTGAAATTTGTGAAGCCAGTCAATGGCATGAAACATAGGGGAAAAAAAAATTTCAATATTTCGATATTTGAAAAACGCTATCTTAAAGAAAATCAAAAAGCACAACTTTTTTCTTATTGTCATTTTTTTATAGAACGATTATTTTTTACAAAAAAAAATAAAAAGTGAAAAATTTTTATTCTGAAATTTAATGAAATTTTAAAACATAAATCGCATTATCTACTACAAATATAAATGAATTTGATTGCAATTTGGTATGTATACTCATTAGGGTCTCCTGAAACTGAAAAAGTCTTAAAATTTTGAAAAATTATTCATTGTTTATATTTTTTTTTATTATAAATGATGACGTGTCAACAATGAAGCTTTGTAACTTTCAACGAGAAAAAGTATGCGGGGAAGTTTTGAGTTCAGCAAAGTTGCAGTGAGAAAGTTGTTCCTCAATATTTAAGGAAGTTTTTTGGAAAATTTCAAATAAATTAGTTAACAAACAAAAAAGTTATGTAATTTTTAAAGAATGCGCGCGCTGCGCGTTGACTTCAATGTTTGATACGAATATTTCATGTTTTTTGTAAATGTTTTAATTTATTTGAAAACTTTCAATCTATTTAATAGGAAAATATTACGTAGACAAATAATGTATATATTTAAAAAAAGTACAAATTTTCTCAGTATATTAAATATTGTGTGAAATAATTGTAAAAATAAAAATTGCTGAAAAGTATAAATATATTTAGTTGAACAAAAAAAAATTGTCAAATTTTTTAATGTGCTAATTTTTGTAAACAAATAAAATTATTATTATTCAAATAATAAAGCATGGAAATAAATGAACTGCATAATATGTGAGTGGTAAAATTGTGAAAATAGACATATTTCACGTGAAATATGTCTATTTAAATAAAACAAAATAAATAAAAAAAAAAAATAAATAAATAAATAAATAGACATATTTCACGTGAAATATGTCTATTTTCACAATTTTACCACTCACATATTATGCAGTTCATTTATTTCCATGCTTTATTATTTGAATAATAATAATTTTATTTGTTTACAAAAATTAGCACATTAAAAAATTTGACAATTTTTTTTTGTTCAACTAAATATATTTATACTTTTCAGCAATTTTTATTTTTACAATTATTTCACACAATATTTAATATACTGAGAAAATTTGTACTTTTTTTAAATATATACATTATTTGTCTACGTAATATTTTCCTATTAAATAGATTGAAAGTTTTCAAATAAATTAAAACATTTACAAAAAACATGAAATATTCGTATCAAACATTGAAGTCAACGCGCAGCGCGCGCATTCTTTAAAAATTACATAACTTTTTTGTTTGTTAACTAATTTATTTGAAATTTTCCAAAAAACTTCCTTAAATATTGAGGAACAACTTTCTCACTGCAACTTTGCTGAACTCAAAACTTCCCCGCATACTTTTTCTCGTTGAAAGTTACAAAGCTTCATTGTTGACACGTCATCATTTATAATAAAAAAAAATATAAACAATGAATAATTTTTCAAAATTTTAAGACTTTTTCAGTTTCAGGAGACCCTAATGAGTATACATACCAAATTGCAATCAAATTCATTTATATTTGTAGTAGATAATGCGATTTATGTTTTAAAATTTCATTAAATTTCAGAATAAAAATTTTTCACTTTTTATTTTTTTTTGTAAAAAATAATCGTTCTATAAAAAAATGACAATAAGAAAAAAGTTGTGCTTTTTGATTTTCTTTAAGATAGCGTTTTTCAAATATCGAAATATTGAAATTTTTTTTCCCCCTATGTTTCATGCCATTGACTGGCTTCACAAATTTCAGCCGAGCGAAGATCGAGTTATTTGACTGAACGCCTCAATTGTTAATGATAAATCGTCCAAACGCCCGTCCTGCCGGAAGGACGTTCCGAAAAAAGGCTTTTAAAAAAAGGGAATTCAACTTTTCTTTTCTGGCACTCCTTGGGATTAAAATAGACCGAAAGACGAAAAAATCCATATTTTTGACTTTTTAAAATAATAATTTAAACCATTTTTCAAAGCCTTCAAACTTGCTATGTTTTTAAACAGTGAAAAAAACATTTTTTCGTAAATTTAATGTAAAATCCCCAAAAATCAATATTTTTTGACCGGACAAGTCTCTTTCTCTTTAGAAGAGTTCAAAGAATGAAACCTAATTGTTCAATTAAAAAAAAATTCATTTTTAATGTTGTTCAGTATATCTGAGTAATACTCAGGCGCGAGTCCCTTCGAAATTGCTCTATAAAATTAATATGGAAGCAGATAAACATAAAACTAAATATATCGTTGGAAAGGTAATGAAACAAGCTTTCAAATGATGTAAATATCGAGTCTTTAAATTTATAAACCTGGGCTAGGTAGTCTCTTAAATAAAACGAAAAGCGTCCTGCCGGCAGGATCGGGCTTCGTCATTCTGTGACTAAAAATTATGTGAATTTTTGGAACATGTAACTTCTTCAAACTACCCAGCCCTTAGTTTTGAACTTACAAGCTCGATATTTATATGCGCTGAAAGCTTGTTTCGTTACCTTTCCAATGATATATGGGTGATTCTTCATTCAGTGGTCACTTTTGCTTCCCCACTGTTCCCTATTTAATAACTTGAAGAATTGTTATCTAATCTACTTCAACCTTTTGCATAATTAATCTTCAATATGTTTTTTAGTAATATCATAATCGAAAAAAAATTTTAATTTAAAACAAAAGTTGTAATTCAATTGCAAATGTTCAAAAAATGCACATTTTTCGTTTCTCCACACATGAATCATGAAGTTTAATATGTTTTATTTTGCACAAACTTTATTTTAAACGTTTTTTTATTTATTCTATTCGAAAGTTCATCTCAAATACTAAGTTTTTGTGTGTCGTTTTCTAATTTCCATTAACAAATCTGTGTGAAAATATTTTTTAAATATTTTCCCCACTCTTTTTTATTTGGAACTGGAGTTTACAATTTCATTGATTTTCATTAATTTTGTTCCCTTTTTTAGTGCGATTTTATTTGCTATTAATATTATTAAGTTAATAAGTTGTATTTATGTTAAATTTGCAAAAAGAAATATAATTTTTAGATTTAAAACTACAAAAGTTACTATTATTTTATAGCGTATTTTAATGGTATGTAAACTCCAGTTCCGCCAAAATTATCGAATTCTAAATGTATAAAAAAAAATAAAAATAGTAGTGATTTAGAGTAAGCAAATCTCTTTAATAATGTGCAAAAATTGTTTATTTTTATGAATTCTTACGGTTTTAATGAATTTTTTTCTTTGATTTGTAAACTCCAGTTCCTGTAAACTCCAGTTCCTAATTTCGTTTCGCGTAATGGAAGTGTTCTGTTTTTTTTTAATTAATTTAATTAACCTCGATTAACCTGTATCAAAACATGTAATTTCAATAACAGGTATGAGTAAAAATATTATTTATTTATTATTTAAAGCAGTTTAAAGTAATTATTTGCTTATTTACACTATTTATAATTATTAACAGTCGAAAATTAACTTTTTCAAATAAATTATTTAACCTTTAAATTACAAATTTTTAAATTGTTTGTATATAAAACTAAAAAAAGAATTAAGCTCAATATCTATAAAATAATCATTCTCAAGCTTTATTAAAAAGATCTAAATAAAAAATTTCCAAAAAATTTAATTAAAAAAAAATTTTAACATATTCAAAAGTTACCACTTTGTGGAGAATCACCCATATATCATTTTTTATTTATCTGAATCCATGTTAGTTTTCTTTAGTGATTTCGGAGGGACTCACCTGAGTCTTTTTCGTCCTGCCGGAAGGACGTTGGACGATTTATCATTGAGGGGCTCAAAGTAAAAGTGGTATAAAATAACAGTGCAAGCAAAAGTGAGTCAAGTTTTCGTAAGCGCGGAAGAACGAAACAAATGTTACGCTACGAGGAAAAACGAATTACTTTTGGCTGCGAGCAAAAGCGGGATAAGATTTCACTGCGCGCAAGAAAGGGATACAGATATATTCCGTTTTTGCCCGCACTCATTTTAAGATTCATTTTTGCCCGTTTCACTCTTCCCATATATTTTATATTATTACCACTTTAATACTTATAATGATATTATTTCAAAATTAATTAACAAATTCAATTTTTTAAAATTCTAATTTAAGAATAATATAATTATTTCAAGTTTTAGGTATTTAAATTTAGATTCAATTACTTTACAATCAGACAAGAAGATTCAATTACTTTAAATTTTAAACAAATTAAAATTAATTTTTTTTAAATAAATAGGGTAAATGCACTAGTAGTCGGACACTTAAGGATACAATCTTAAATTATGCTTTTTTTCTTGAAATAGCAAATATCTACTGTGTTTATAAGCACATTATTAATTAAAGAAGTTCTTCAGGATTAAAAATCATATAAATTTGTTACAAATAGTTGAGTATTTAATAAAATATAAACATTTTAATAAAAAATTACGAATGCTTTAGTAGTCGGACACTTTTCCCCTTTGTTTCTATAGTCGGACATCTGTCAGATATTTTGAATTTATAAAGTGAAAAAGATAATTTTTTAATTGCTATCTACTGGAAAATGGAATTAAAGCATATTAGAAGTTATTAATATAATATTTAAACCCTATAAGTTTTAATATTTATGATTAATTATCAACAAAACTTTGTGCCACTCATCGCGCTACTCGAAAATGGTTGTATCTATAGTCGGACACCATGATTTTTAAAACATTAAATAAAATATTTCTTGTTTAATTATTTTCGAAAATAACACTATTTTAATAAAATATAAACTTCACACATTCGTTTTGTATACTTTTTAAAGTAATTATCACAA